CATCATCATCATCATCATCATCATCATCATCATCATCATCATCATCATCATCGTCATCACCGCCACCATCATCCTAATCATCACGCGCCCTCGCGAGCACTCGCAAATACCTCATCATCTTTACACACTCAGTGGGGGCTTCTTTTGAATGAGTTGCGAGGACGTTTCGATCGGGAGCCCCCTTTCTGTGGGGCTCGCGCTTAATGTTCGTGATCCGAGGGGGACATCGGAGCACATGTGAAACACATGGTTTTTCACATCTGGCATCCCGAGTCTCGAGCAAGTGTGCCGCGGGAGCCTCGTTCCTGTGCAAATCGTTCGGACTTGGCTTCACTCGCAAGCGGGACCCCCCCGTGCCTGTGATTCTACAACATGTGTTTTTTTAACACTTGGCACTTGACATCTCGAATCTCGAATTGATTTCTGGCAGAGGCCTCGCTTCTATCGGTATCGTTTAACCAATCCCTATCCCCATCCCCATCCCCTTCGAGGCCCCCACCAAATTACCACCCCAGTTGGGGATACACCCTCGAAACCCGAAGGGAACGACCTATACCTCCATCTAGGAGGGTAAAACGGCCAGTGGGGCCCAGACCACGCCGCTGTGGATGGGGATCGGTTAAACGATGCTCATATGTATGGGGCCTGCACTTCATATGAGTAATTCCAGAGGTCATCGGAGCACATGCAACACACGGTTTTTCACGCCTGGTATCCCGACTCATCGAGGAAGTCTCCAGCGGGAGCCTCGCTTCTATCAGATCGTGTGGATGTGGCCTCAATCGCAGGGGCGTCCTGCGCGGGAGCCTCGTCAGTTCATGACTTGCGTTGCAGCCTCGGGCGGTGGCCGAGTAAGAGTACGAGCGAGGGTCCCAGGACGGTGCCCAGGCCGCGAAGCACTGACTAAGCCCCTTGAAGGGCTCTCTTGGCCTTCTCGTGGGCCTCCGGCCGCAGAGCCCCCGTGGGCCTCCGGCCGCAGAGTCCCTCCGACTTCGACCAGGACGGACAGCCCGAGTCGGGGTGGCCCCCTGAGGGGCAGGGCCTGCCCAGAGCCAGAGGAGCCGCCGAGCACCGCGCGCTCCGCACACGGAGCAGCACCGGACGTGCCGTGCACCGTGGTGTAATCGCACACGGCGGGACGGGTGCACCCCCCCCCAGCGGTGTGCAGCTCGGCCCTCGCTGGAAGGACCCGAAGGGAGCCCTCCAGGCCCAGGGGTCTTTGGAGGAGGAGGAGGAGGAGGAGGAGGAGGAGGAGGAGGAGGAGGAGGAGGAGGAGACATGAGGGTAGCCTGCACAATCAGACGGACGGCGGTGACCATCACATTCGAGCAAGCTGTAGGCGTTGCCCCACCATCGTTGAACTTCACCTTCATGCTCTTCTGACGCCAGCGCTTCTCGGAGCGGTCGTGGTACCTGACCTTGCACGCGCAGCGGTATGCCACCCACTCCACGGGATTGTACGCCACCCACGAAAATGGCGGCGGGTTCATCATCGGGCTAGGAGGAGGATGAGGATGGAGGTGTATGAGGAGGCAGGGATGGAGGGATGAAGGCAGGGGGGAAAGGGAGGGAGGGAGGAGGGAAGGAGGGAGGGCGGAGGAGAAGGAGGTGGAGGAGGCGGAGGAGGAGGATGTGGAGAGAGGAGGAGGAGCGGAGGAGGAGGGGGAGGAGGGGAGGAGGAGGAGGAGGAGGAGGAGGAGGAGGAGGAGGAGGAGGAGGAGGGGGAGGAGAAGGAGGAGGAGGGGGACTGAGGAGGAGGAGGAGGAGGAGGAGGAGGAGGAGGAGGAGGTGGAAGAGGAGGAGGAGGAGGAGGAGGAGGAGGAGGAGGAGGAGGAGCAGGCTGAGGAGCAGGATCAGTAGGAGGATGGCGGAGGTGGACGAGGCAGGGATTGATATGTGAATGGAGGGAGGGAGAGATGGAAGAGTATCAGGAGGAGGAGGAGGTGAAGGACGATATGGAGGAGGAGATGGAGGAGGAGGAGCAGCAGGAGGAGGAGGGGAATGATGAAGATGATGTTGCTGCTGCTGCTGATGCTGCTGCTGCTGATGATGATGATGATAATGATGTGGATGATGGTGCTGATGATGCTGATGCCGATGAACATGATGCTGGTGATGCCGCTGACCGTGATGATGAGGATGGTGCTGACGATGGTGGTGGTAGTGGGTTTGATGATGATGCTGATACTGATAATGATTATGATAACACTGCTGATGGGGATGATGAGGATGCTGATGATGCTGATTATGATGATGATGCTGATGATGATGACGATGATGATACTGATGATGATGATGATGATGATGCTGATGATGATGATGATGATGATGATGATGATGATGATGGTGCTGATGACGATACGGTGGTGTTGATGACGATGCTGACGATGCGGGTGCTGCTGCTGTCAATGATGATGATGATGCTGATGATGATGATGCTGATGAGGATGTTGATGACGACGATGACGATGACGAGGGTGCTGCTGCTGCTGATCATGCTACTGATGGTGATGATGGTGATGATGATGATGATGATGATGATGATGATGATGATGCTGATGTTGGTGCGGCTGCTGCTGCGAGGGTATGTTGTGATGATGATGCGGATGATAAGGCTGACGATGCTGCCGATGCTGTCGATGATGATGATGCTGACGATGGTGACGATGTCGACGATGTGGATGTGTTGTGATGATGATGCTGACGATGCTGACGATGCTGACGATGCTGATGATTCTGATGATGACGATACTGATCCTGTTGTTGATGATGATGACGACGATGATGATGTCGATGATGATGCTGATGCTGGCGATGCTGCTGATGGCGATGCTGAGGCTGAGTATGATGGTGATATCGGTGATGATGTTTTATGACGATGCTGATTGGGATGCTGCTGATGGTGATGCTGATGACGCTTCTGGTGTTCGGATTGAGGGTGAGGATGATGCTGATGTTTATGATGATGCTGATGATGCATATTGTGCCGATGATGATGCTGACGATGTGTAGGATGCTGCTAATATTCATGCTGACGATGCTGACGATGCTGAGGATGCTGATGCTGACAATGCTGCTGCTGATGATGCTGCTGATTATGATGATGATAATGTTGCTGTAGACGATGCTGATGATGCTGGTGATACTGATGATGCTGGCGATGCTGATGATGATGATGCTGATGCTGATGTTGATGATGATGCTGATTATGATGATGATGCTAGTGCTGATGATGCTGCTGATGATGATGCTGCTGCTGATGATGATGATGATGCTGATGCTGTTGATGCTGATGCTGATGATGCTGCTGCTGCTGTTGCTGCTGCTGATGATGATGATGATGATGATGATGCTGATGATGATGATGATGATGCTGATGATGATGATAATGATGATGATGATGATGATGATGATGATGATGATGAGGCTGCTGCTGATGATGATGACGATGCCGATGATGATGATGATGATGATGATGATGACGATGCTGATGATGATGCTGATGCTGCTGATGGTGATGAGGATGATGAGGATGATGATGATGATGATGATGATGATGAAGAAGATGATGATGCTGATGATGATGATGATGATGATGATGATGATGATGATGATGATGCTGATGATGATGATGATGATGCTGATGCTGATAATGATGATGATGATGATGATGATGATGATGATGATGATGATGATGATGATGATGATGATGATGATGATGATGATGATGATGATGATGATGATGATGATGTTGATGAAGATGATGATGATGATGATGATGCGGAGGCGTGCAGGAGGGGGATACTAGGCAGGAGGGGAGGTGGAGGGAGGAGGAGGAGGAGGAGGTAGGAGGAGAGCAGGAGGTTTGGAAGGAGATGAGGATGGAAGAGAGGAAGAGAGAGGAGGGGAGAGGAGGAGGAGGGGCGGAGGAGGAGGAGGAGGGAGGAGGGAGGGGCGGAGGGGGAGGAGGAGGAGGAGGAGGAGGAGGAGTGGTGCGGAAGCAAGAGGAAAAAGAGGCGGCTAGAGGAGGGGGCGGCGGAGGAGGAGGAGGAGGAGGAGAGGAGGAGGAGTAGAGGCGGCGGAGGAGGAGGAGGAGTAGGAGGAGGTAGGAGGAGGAACAAGAGGGGATAGGGCAGGGGAGAGTGAGAGGAGGAGGAGGAGGAGGAGGAGGAGGAGAGAGGAGGAGGAGGAGGAGGTAGGAGGAGGAGGAGGAGGAGGAGGAGGAGGAGGAGGAGGAGGAGGAGGCGTTGGCTAGGCGGAGGTAGGAGGAGGAGGAGGAGGAGGAGGGTGAGGAGCAGGAGGAAAAAGAGGAGGATGGAGGAGGGGGAGGATGGAGAAGAGGAGGTTGAGGAGGAGTCGGGGCCAGGTCGGAGGGGGCTAGCCACGGGGCCAGGGCCTGAGCCAGGACTGTCCGCCGCTTGTCGCTCGATGTCGGGAGGGTGAAGGGTGGAGGCAGAGGGCAAGAGGCAGGAGGGAGGGAGGGAGGGAGAACAGAGTACGGGAGGGAGGGAGGGAGGGAGGGAGGGAGAAGGGGAATGTGGAAGGAGGGAGAGAGGGAGTGAGGGAGGGAGGCAGGAGGAGGAGGGAGGATGGAGGGAGGGAGGAGGGAGTAGAGGAAGTAGCTAGAGACGGATGGGGGGGAGGGAGGGAGGGAGAGAGGGAGAGAGGGAGGAGAGAGGGAGGGAGGGTGAAGAGAGGGAGGGATGTAGGGAGTGAGTGAAGCAGCGAGTGAGGCAGGGAGGGAAGACGCGGAGCAGGCGCAGGAAGAGACTGGAGGAGGGGCAGGCCGGAGACGAGCAGCGGGAGGTGGGCCGCGCCCGCCGCGGAGGCGCGACCGGATGGCAGAGGCGGACGCGCGCAGGCGGTCCGACGTCTGGTCCCAGATGGACGAGCCCACTGAGCGCACGCAGCCCGAGGAGGGCATCGCCGTCGGTCGCCACCGCTGCCGTCGTCGTCGTCGTCGTCGTCGTCGTCGTCGCCGTCGTCGCCGTCGTTGTCGTCGTCGTCGTTTGCGTCGTCGTTTGCGTCGTCGTCTACGCTGTCGTCTACGTCGCCTTCTACGTCGTCGTCGTCGTCGTCGCCTTCATCGTGGTGTCCGTGGTGGTGGCTGTGGTGGTGGCTGTGGTGGTGGGGGTCGTCGTCGTCGTCGGCGTCGTCGTCGGCGTCGTCGTCGGCGTCGTCGTCGGCGCGGATGTCGTGGTGCCCGCCGCTCGTTGTTGCTGTCGTGGTGGCGGTCGTGCTCGTCCTCCCGTCGTCGTCGTCGTCGTCGTCGTCGTCGTCGTCGTCGTCGTCGTCGTCGTCGTCGTGGTCGTCGTCGTCGTCGTCGTCGTCGTCTACGTCGTCGTCGTCGTCGTCGTTGTGGTGGTGGTCGACGTGCTCGTCCTCCCCGTCCTGCCTTGCCTCGTCCCTCCTCTGTCCGCCCGCGCGGCGGGAGGAGAAGGGACGAGGGAGCGGATGAGAGACGATGCCGCGGGTCGCAAGACGAGCAGGAGGAATAGGGCTGATGACGGAGGAGGAACGCTTGCCAGCGCCAGGATGGGGAGGGAAGAAGCGGCACTGCATGAGGAACGGAGGAATGATGGGGAAGCGGGATGAGGAGGGAGGGGCGGGAGGAACAGCAGCAGGGGGAGCAGCAGCAGCAGGAGCAGCAGGCGGAGGAGGGGGAGGAGGAGGAGGAGTTGAGGAGGAGGAAGAGGAGGAGGAGGAGGAGGAGGAGGAGGAGGAGGAGGAGGAGGGTGAAGGAGGCAGAAGGACGGTGCAGGAGGAAGCTGGAGGAGGAGTAGGTGGAGGGAGGAGGAGTTGAGGAGGAGGAGGAGGAGGATGAGCAGGAAGGGACTGCGGAAGCAGCAGGCTCGAGGGAGGACGGAAGAGGAGGAGGAGGTGGTGGTGGAGGAGGAGGGGGAGGAGCAGGAGGAGGATGTGGAAGAGCAGCAGGAGGCAGGAGGAGTTGAGACCATCTCGCCCCCATCCTCGTCCTCCCCGTCCTGCGCTGCACTGCGCTGCGCGGCCTGCGGGGCGAGTGCCGAGCCTGCGCCCGCGGAGCGGCCCCGCCGCCAGGGAGGGACGCCCGCCCGCGGCACGGCCAAGACGCTAAGATGAAGTCGTGCCTGTTCCTCAGCAGGAGGAGTATTCAAACATACACCTTAGGCGATGCTTAAGAAAACTTACGTTTTTGGCCAGAGTCTCGATTATTCTTAACGTTTCAATATAAATCTTGAGCTTTTAATGGAAATGTTGGGTTTTTTATTCAAGTTCTGGGACTATGAATTTCTTAACCCATGATTTCTTAAGCATTTCGCAGGGTGTAGTCGCAAGAGCGGTATGGGTACCATTATTGAAGTATTTTTTTTGTGTTTGTATTTTTTGTTGTTCCTTCTTTGTTTAAAAAGATATCGCCATCGTCCAACATCCCCCTGTTGGGGGACATGCCCGACCTGGCGCTAACACAGGGAGCCACCCTGGGCTCGGGAGGGGCTCTGGCTTCCGTGTCGCGCCCCAGATTTAGGTCGGGGAGCCGAGCCGCTGCCGAGGCTCGCCGTGGCCAGACGGACCTCGCCAGCTCCTGACGCAGCGATGCTAGCGGTTGCGCCAGGACTGTAGTAGCCTCGATTTTATTTCTATCCCTAAGATTGACACGCCAAAAGGCGATGCCAATCTTAGGGATTCGCCCTAAAAAAGTAAGGGAATCCCTAAGATTGGCATCGTGATGAGGAGATGCCCAGCATAGGGATAGGGATACGTTCCAGGCTGGTGATGTAGGAGGGGATCAGCGTTTTCTGGGATGTTCCCGGATAGCTCGCAGAGAGCGAGGAGTGCTTCAGAGTGGAGGCCGGCAGGCAAGGCTAGCCCCAGAGCTCGTTTCGGCTTCCGGCAAGAAGCGCCGCTGCGCCTGCTGGGAGATTGCAGCGTGTTCTGGCAAGCCTTCTCTGGGGGAGCGAACAATGACAGAACCAATACGTGTGCCGTCAAGCTTGCCAGAATCTTCTTCGGACGTTCCCTCCAAGAGCTTCCAGAGCTCCCTCGATAGGTGTTGCATGGTCTCCCTGGCGCTCCGCTGTGCGGGGTTTGGGATCCCTCATGCGTTTGTCTTCCCTCGGCCCCCCCGAGGACGAGGACGAGGAGCTGGCCGCTGCGAGCTGGGGCCCGAGGGCCCCGCTGAGCAGCAGGCGCGAGCTGGAAGAGGACTCCTCTCCTCTCCCTCCTGCCCCCCTTCCCTCCTTCCTCCTCCCTCCTTCCCTCCCTCCTCCCCTTCTTCCTGCTTCCTCCTCGTCCCTCCTTCCTCGTCCTTCCTCCTCGTCCCTCCTTTTTCCTCCTCCCTCCTGCCCTCCTTCCTCCTCGTCCCTCCTTCCTCGTCCCTACTCGTCCCTTCTTCCCTTCCCTCTCTCCTTCCTCCTCGTCCCTTCTTCCCTCCTTCCTCCTCGTCCCTCCTCCCTCCCTTCATCCTTTGGCGGCGAGCCCGGGACATTGTGAGAAGGGGCGGGTATCCTCAGGAGTCTCGGACCCCCTGGCATTTTGAGTGATTTTCTATGCCTTCCCGAAAGACACGAAGAACTTCTCAGAAGGCGCGAGGGCTTCCCAGAAGTCCCGCCGCCTGTTGAGAAGGCCTTCTTCTTCTCACTTCCCCCCCTCGCTCGCCGCCGAATGCTCTTCCCCTCTTCCTGCCCTCTCTCCGCAGCCAGACCATATTATCAAGACTGCGGCCAGGGAGGCACGTAGCTAAGCGGCCTGGGCGCGGTTGTGTTGCATGCTTTGGGCTCCCTGCAGTATTTCTTTCGCTGGGCCGCGCCATATTTGAGAAAGGGTCATGCACACCCTCGGAGAAGCCATCCGCTTGTGTTTCATTCCCAGGGTCCCGCGTTTTGCGGTTGTCATGACGGCTTGCGTGCTCCGTAGCAGAGGCGTCGGGACCGATTGGCGGCTTCGCTCGGGCTACCATCAATTCTTCGTTTTTCGGTGGTCTAGGTATGGGCTCCCTTTGTGAGTTTTTTGCAGGCTCACGCGAGCGCGATTTTCCAGCATGCGTAACCACTATGTCTGCAGCGATTCCAGCCCTGAGTGTCTCCAGCCTCCCCGTACTCTCCTCTCTGCCCCGAAGACGTGTTGAGAGTATCCCGCCCGACGGTGCCGCCGACCCTGGGAGACATCGACGACGACCAGGAGTGCGAGGAGGAGGAGAAGGAGGAGGAGGAGGAGGAGGAGGAGGAGGAGAAAGAGGAGGAGGAGGGGGAGGCCGAGATAAGGAGGAGGAGGAGGAGGAGGAGGAGGAGGAGGAGGAGGGAGGTGGAGGAGGAGGAGGAGGAGGAGGAGGAGGAGGACGAGGAGGAGGAGGAGGAGGAGGAGAAAGAGGAGAAGGAGGAGGAAAAGGACTCCCCCCTGGGACCCCTCCCCTGGGGAGGAGGACTTGCGTGGGAGAGGGGAGGGGGGGGGGGGAGGACCCCCAGGGACGGATGCGCATCTGACTCCCCTCTCCCCCTGGGACTCCTCCCCGCCTGGGGAGGAGGACCCGAGGAGGACCGGCGCGCTGGAGAAGGACGGGCGTGGGAGACGAGGACCCCCAGAGGCGATGCGAATCTGACCCCCCCCCCCTGCAGGGACCCCCCCCCGCCGGGGAAGGAACAAAGGGAAGGGGCTTTCTTTTGACGTAATGAGGACAAGCTGCGAACCCGTTTCCCGAACGAGAAAGGGTGCTCTCTCTCTCTCTCTCTCTGTCTCCCCCGACGGGAGAGGAGTATGGGAAGGAGGGGGCGACAGAAGTCTCCCCGTCGACGGGACCAGACAGACCCCCCCCCCACCCACACACACACACCGATAGGGCCATCGGATTTTTACTTAGGATTTCATTGTTTCGCAATCCGAGCGCTGTCGGTCGTTTCAAAATAGTAGTCCACTGCATGGTTGGCTCCATTACAATTCAATTCCGCTGCTTTCAAATAGTGTTCCTGCTTCAGCATTGGTCTCATCCCCGTGTTTTTGGTTCTTCTCGATGATGTCACCCCCTGTAGGGTTGACTCCTCTCCGCGTCTTCGGTCATGAAGTGTAGTGCACCCGCTGCGGCGCTGGACTCGTTTCCGCGTCTCTGTCCTTTTCAAAGGTGCTCTGGCTGCATCGCTGGCGCCATCTCCGCATTTGAATCCTTCAAGATGGTGCCTCCGCCTCAGCGTTGGCCTCATCTCTAACCTTCCTGTTCTTTAAAGATCGCGTTCCGTCTTCAGCGTGGACTTCATGCAGGAGCTCCAGTCCTTGACAAGGGTACTCCAGCTCCAGCGTTGGCCTCACTCCTGAAGCCGCATTCCTGACTTGCCCTGGGACCTCCGTCGAAAGGGGAGGAGTTGTCGACGCGGGGCAGGCCGTGGTCTCGCATAAGCATGTGGACTGCGCCTCGCAGCCCTCTTCCTTGCGTGTTGTTACTACAAAGTGGAACCCCCGGTACTACGTTAGCGTCATTTCTCAGTTGCCATGGAGCCTCCGTCCAATGGAGTGGTGCTCTCGATGCAGCGCCAGCAGTACTATAGGATCGGCACTGCGCCCTCGTCCCTACGCAGTGCGACACCATGCTACGCTCGGCCGTGCTCCCGTACGCCAAACTCTGCCATGCCATGCTGCGCGGCGTTTGCGCTTTCGTGATCAACGCCTTCTTTGATACCCAACTATGGAGTAGAGAGGGGTTTGACGCAATGGTCAGAGATGTGAGGGAAGAGGGACGAAAGGGTATGACGTCGGATATAACGCGAGCGCGCCTAGCTTGCCCCTCTTCCCTCCTCCATGTTCCTTTCTTCTCCCTCCTCCACCCTCCTCCCTCCTCCTCCTCCCTCCTCCTCCTGCCTTCCCCCCCCTCCTCCCCTATCCTGCCTCCCTTTTATTCCTCCTCCGTTCTCCATCCCCCGTCTCCTCGTCACCCTTCTTCCCCCCCCATCCCTGCGCGCTCTTCCCCCTCCCCCCGGAAGGGAGGAGGGGAACGATGAGAGAGACGCAGGAAGAGCGCCGCCCCTTCCTCCTCCTTCCCCCCCACCCCCTCGTCCTGCTCCCGCTCCCCCATGACTGCTGCTGTTCCTTTCCCTCCTCCCTCCGCCCTCCCTCCTCCCCTACTTGCTGCTGCTGTTGCTCCCCCCGTCCGGCTCAGAGAATATCGAACTCCTCGCAGTCTGGCTTTGCATGCCGCCAGGGTCAGACGCGTTGGCCACCGCCACCGTCGCTGTCGCCGTCATTCGAGTCGGTGGCCCTGACGAGGGGGTGACGGCGGTGGTGGCAGTGTCGAAGAGCGCCCAGAGTCCAGCAGGGCATGAGGGTGCAAGCCCGACTTGTCTGGCTGATGCTCTGGGGGGGGCCTATGCTCAGGGGAGGCTGCAGCACCGCTCAACGATTTGCTGTCAGGCTTCGGATTCAGCTGCCGATGCACCGCGAAGCGCCTTCGGGCCAGCTCACCCGATTCGGACCTTCCGCTCGCACGGGTTCTCCTCCCCCGGCCCTCCTCCTTCCTCTTTCTCTCCCTCCCTCCTCCCACTCAAACATGATTCCTGGATGCCGTCTGGGCTCAGGTGCCGGCGCGAGAGTTTTGTTTGCTGTGGGGAAAAGAACCTATTCACATCTTGTTGTGTTGCCGTCATGCTATCCCCGTCGCATTCACCAGCCCCAGCTGAGTTGGTAGCGATCCCAGTTTGCGATCCACGGAGGACGCGCAGTGTGCGATGCGGACGCGCTTTTGCATTTCCCTCACCCTCCACATTGGTGCCACCCTCTATTCGTTGAACGGATTGTGCTCATGGTTGTTCTGCAACCTCACAGGAATTTGCCTGACGCACCCACCGGCGCGACGAGTCCAACGCCTTCGACCGCAAGTTGCCCGCTGACTGCATCGTCTCTTTGGGGACAGGTGGCCCTGTGCAGGGGTGAGCCAGCCCAAGGAGGCAGCGATGCTTCGGCCCTTTCATGTCAAGGATTTCCTGGCATTGGCAGTGAGGCGCAGACTCCTGCCCTATACCGCACTGCTGGGCCCTTGTAGCACGCTGCGCACTTCGAGTGGCTTCAAGCTGGTTGGCGTTCCAGTTCCACCACCCTTTTGCATCGTCAGTGGTTCCCGTCCTACTACGCCTGTCCGGTGTGTCGAGATGGTTTCGTCCCCGTCCAGGTCCGAGTCCCAAGGTGCCTGCACGGCTTTGTTCACAGGAGGAATTCCTATTTGACAATACTGGGCAGTCTTCGCATCCCCTCCGTGATGGCCCTGCTCTGGCTCGTCTGCGCGATGCTTGGAGGAGCTGGGCAGCAATGCGGTGGCAGTGGTAGAGTAGGCAACATGCGTCAGCCACCTGCCTGGTATCGTCATCGCGAGTCCGTTTAGCCAGGTGACCGCTGGGTGCAGGACTTGCTCGCGTGGGGCGTACTCGCCACGGACATGGACAGCGCTCAGCAGCGTGCGTCCATCTTCCTGAACTTTGGTATGGCGTTTCTCGTGAAGTCGCGCGCTCCATGAATGCCACGGAGCTGACCGGCCGACTATCCAACCCGAAGTTGCCGTCACTTACTTCAGTTCGGACCAATTGACGGAGAGTCACGCCTGCGAGGCACTCTCACACAATTCGAGTTCTCGGGGCGGCGCAACGAGACCACCGAGGCGTTGTTCTCGCACATCTTCGCAGTGCGATCCTGGGCGACGCGCAAGGGCGGAGTTGCGTTGCCATGGGAAGGTTGCAGCCGGCTGCTCATCCGAGCGGTCGGCGCCACGGCCAGCCAAGTCATGATGCTGCTCCAGCCTTGCGGCAACCGATGCCCCGCAACAGTGCCTGGGCTCAGCGGCCCTTCAATGCTCAGGCGCGAAGGCCATATCTTGGAACGCGCGCCCAACTTCAACGCCAGTGCCCTGCGTGCGCCATTACTTTTCGGGGGCTTCGTAGGCATGACAAACGCAGGGCTCGTTTCGATTCCTCCGATGTGATTCGGTTCGATTTCGACTGCTCCCGCTTTCGATTCGATCCGATATGGGATTCCGATTTGGGTGCCGACTTCTTATTGGAGGCATACTAGCCTGCCCGCTTCTGCCGGTTCAACTTTTCCCAACTCGGCTGCTGAATTCCGCCAATCCGTTAATTTCGATTTCCGGTCCGACTCATCGATTCGAAGTTGGGCTCTTTTGCCAAAGGAAACAGTCGCCGGCGCAGCGCGAGCGCAGCATGCCCCTAGCAGTCGCGAGGGCTTGACCTTTGGCCTGCCAGCGCCGCCGAGCTCCCAGGTGCCCGAGGTGCTGTCGCGCACGGCAGCAAGTGTCTGCTGAGCACCGCGCTTCCGCAGGCGGCATGCCCCTCCGCCTCCGCGCGGCCGCGCGCTGATGGCACGCAGGCCCACCGCGAATGCGTGAGCGCACCCGTTCCGACACATGTTGAAACTTTTGAAGACGCTGCCGACTACGCGTCGGACCAGTTGGACGGTTCAGTGTTGAGATGGACGCCGAGATTTGGTGGCCAAGAACACCCTACGAGCGTTAGTTCGCAGGACTAGAGGTTGACACCAACACCAACATCGGCGGTGTGCTTCCAAGGAGGGAAACATATCTCGATCTCGGTGATGGCGGTAATATTCTGGCTTCCAAATAATGGCGACGCGATGTGAATGGGCCCACACGGAAGGTCCGAATATTTGTCATGGAGAACGGTCGGTCGTTCTCTTGCAAGGGTAATGGCACAGGCAAGTGTTCAGCAGTGCAGCTTCGTGGCCCAGCTGTCTGGGGACCAGGCCGACGCCGTCTCCGAATGAGGCAGCGGCACCGAGAAAAGGCGAAGTGGAGCGGGTCCAGCGGCACAGGCAACAAGCCGCAAGAGGACCTTTCCGTGTTGCGACGGGGCGGTGATGGCGCGCAGCGCTTGCCGTTCGGAGTACCACGTCAGAGAGGAAAGCCCACGGGCCGGCTCTGGAGCTTCCGTTGCCCGAGGAGGTGGCCCGAGATTCGGAGGCTGCGCCGCTTCGGGGCCCATCGGTGGCACCCTGGGTGCCGGACCTCTCTCTCTGGCACATCGGGAGCCGCCTTCGCGGCCGCTGAGCCCGCTCCACCACCGCAGTCAGGGCCCGGCCCGTCTCCCGTGCAGCCCGCTTCCGCGGGCCCCTGGCAGATGCCCGGGTCGGTCCGCGGGCTCTTGGTGTGCATCGTCGCCGGCGGCCGTCCAGAGCCGCGCGTGCACCGACGCGCCCACCATATGAGCTACGTACGCCTCACCTGTTCGACGTTGCCACCCTTCCGCCAGGAGCACAGCTGGCGCGATGGGCCTGTTTTCCACCACCACCACCACCACCAGAAGTTGGATGGGGGGAAGGAGGAGGAGGAGGAGGAGGAGGAGGAGGAGGAGGAGGAGGAGGAGGAGGAGGAGGAGG